GACAGGGGGGCCCCCCCATTCCCAAACCCTCTGGGGGGCCCCGCCATTCCCAAACCCTCTGGGGGGCCCCCTGATAAACCCTCGAAGGGGCCCCTTCTCAAACCCTAGGGGGACCCCCATGCTAAACCCTAGGGGGCCCCCCTGTCAAACCCTAGGGGGCCTCACCTCCCCTTATACCCTCAGGGGGGGCTTCTTCTCAAACCCTAGAGGGGTTCTTCTGACTCTGTTGTAGACAACACTAAGGGCCCTTGCTTTCAGCTTGGCACCAACTGAAGGCAAATCCAACGGCTTAGGGTTTAGGGTTTAGGGTATAGGGTTTAGGGTTTAGGGTTTGGGGTTGGAGGAGCTCAGTAGCTGGGGACGATCTCCCCTTCAACAGGCTGAGCAACACCGCAGCACACCTAAACCCCAAACCCTAAACCCTAAACCCTAGCTCCGAGGATGCAACCCATTTTTAGGTTTTCTCTCGCTGTCTCCTTTTATCTGTCTGTCTCCTTCTGGGCCCACTACTCTTCTGCCAGGAAACCCTAAACCCTAAACCCTAAACCCTTACTATCCGTCTCCTCCTGAAAACAACAGTCACGATGCTTGCGCCCACCAGCAGCGGCCCTGCAACAAACGCAAACCCTAAACCCTAAACCCTAAACCCCAGCTGTGGGGCCCCCTCCCATTCCCCAAGGCTGACGGCAGCATCTGCAGCCCAGAGGAAAGGACAAGCGTTTAGGGTTTAGGGTTTAGGGTTTAGGGTTTAGGGTTTACCAGCAACGTAGCAGAGGATTGATAAATGGCCTAAGGGTATGCAGGAGAAGCCTGAAGAGAAACAGAGAAGTTTAAACCCTCGCAGCTGCTGATCTCTAGGGTTTAGGGTTTGTGGTTATTGCGGGTTTGTGGTGCTCACTTCCTCCGGGGTCGCTGTTATTGACCGACGGTTTAGGGTTTAGGGTTTAGGATTTAGGGCTTAGGGTTTAGGTTGTAGGGTTTAGGGCTTTGGCTCCAGGGTTTAGGGCTATGGGTTCAGGGTTAAGGGTTTAGGGTTTAGGGTTTAGGGTTTACCGAGGTAGGCGTAAACCATCGTCCGAGCGAAAGCATTTGAAAGGAAGCCAAACCGTCGCTCTACGCAATCGTCAAGGGGTAGGATAGGGAGCACTCGCTGGGCCTCAGCAACAATCATTAGAGAGACTAACAGGCTGCACGCGCAAATCAGGGTTTAGGGTTTAGGGTTTAGGGTTTGGGGTTGGGGAGGCAGGGGGGTGGTGAGAAGCCGGTGGCCTGCAAGGGTGTAGGTGCTAAGGGACGCCAAATCCGCTTTGCACTGTGGGACTAGGGTTTAGGATACAGTGTTTAGGGTTTAGGGTTTAGGGTTTAGGGTTTAGGGTTTACAGCTGCCCGATGTTCAAAAATAATAAGTCGCCTGAAAGCCATTCACTTAGTACAACTCCCATACAAGATCCAAACGTCACAAACCCCAAAATTCCGATGAGCAGACACAGTAAAGAGGCCATACGGGGAGCTGCAGATACTCGCAAATAAGGGTTTAGGGTTTAGGGTTTAGGGTTTAGGGTTTGGCGGCTCCGCGCCTCTTGGCAGCACTGAAAGGCCTATGATCCCACCCAGAAATTTCCTGCAGCTAAAAACTAAGGCCTAGAAAAAGGGTAGGGCTCTAGGGTTTACGACCGAGATGAGCTAGGGTTTAGGGTTTAGGGTTTAGGGTTTACTGTCGTGTCTTGCATTGTAGAGCGCGTCTGCGATTTGTAGGCAGTCGTCCGTCATAGACTGACATGTGGGAATTTCCATTTTTAAAACCCTAGAAATACATTTAAAATAAAAATAAAATCAGTGAGGGTTTAGGGTTAGGGTTTAGGGTTTAGGGTTTAGGGTGACCTTGGGCCCCCCAGGCTGGTGGGGGTAGCATGCAAGGGAAAGAAGCCTCTGTCTTTGTTTGTTTATGCTGCATAAACTTCATTACTTGTTTACTATATTTAATTCGAGGGTTTAGGGTTTAGGGTCTAGGGTTTGTCTTTCATGGCCGTGGGTGACCAGTGGTCATGCGGCTGGTCTTAAGATTTGCGGTGTATAGGCAGCTGGACCAGCGGCTGAAATAATAAGCATTTGTAAACCCTAATGAATATTTATAAACTCTAATAAACCGTACGATCCTTCATAAACCCTAATAAATCTCAGGAAACCCTAATAAACCCTAGTACACCCTCACAAAGCATAAACCCTAAACCCTAATAAACCCTAGCAAACCCAATTAAACCCAAAGAAACCCTAGCAAACCCTAATACACTACAATACACCCCAACAATACGGTCCATTAGACGGTAATAAACCAAATAAATAAAGTGTTGTACACCTAAGGAGACAGACTTCTGCAGCAAACATCATCATACAACCACTGTGCGCAAGCCCCGCTGCGGTGGGCCCTTCTTTGCTGCTGCAGCAGCAGCACAAGGTGCAGCTGCTGCTGTGGGTGCAGCTGCAGTAGTTGCTGCTGCTGCTGCTGCAGCGCAGCAGAAGCTGAGGATACACCCAGTGCTTTTTTCTTTATCTTCCCCCTCCGAACTCATTTAAAGTTTTGTTGTTTCTCTCTGTGCAGCCCTTCAATTCTAATAAACCCTAAACTCTAAACCCTAAAACCTAAACCCTAAACCCTAGGAATGGCCAGCAGCGCTTATGTTCTAGTAAACCCTAAACCCTCAAAGGGACACCTTAATAAACCCTATTTATAAACCACTGAATAAGGCTGAGACAGAGACAGACAGAAAATTAACTCTGCCCCTACACCCGGCAGCAACGCAGCGTTCGCTGCTGCTGCTGCTGCTGCTGCTGCTGCTGCAGCTGGGTGGTCTAGCTATTCGTGGGGCCCCCGCAGCCTGCAGAGTTAGGGGGCCCCTTCTCTTTGGGGGCCCCCTAACGCTGCGCTTGAGTTGAAGACAGAGAAAAGAGATTGTTTTTGTTTTTGTTTGTTGTTTCTGCTGATGTTTGTCTATGTACACTTTAAGCAGCAACAACAAAAAAAGAATAAACAAAACAAACCCCTCAACACACTCGATATGCACCCGTACATATATATATATATATATATATATATTGCAGCAGCAGCAGCAGCAGCAGATGCTGCTGAAGAAAAAACACCGCTCACTGCTTGAGCTGCAGCAGAAGTTGCAACAGCAGCAGCAGCAACTGCTGCTCCAGCAGCATCAGCAGGAGTTAGCTCAGCAATTGCTGCTTCTGTTGCTCGTGCTGCTGCAGCAACAGCAGCAACTGCAGCAGCAGCACGTGCTGCTGCCGTTGCATGCAGCTGATTGTATAAGGAATATGATTTGTTTCTCTTAGAAGGCCTTACGCCTCCTGTACCCTTTGGGGTTGGGGGGCCCCCTGCTTGGGGCCCCTCTCTTTCTTTTCTTCTGCTGAGAGATAAACCCACTGGGTCAGCTGCTGCTCATGAGGAGGAGGGTCTAAGCCCCTCACTCGGCGCAGCGGCGAGGTCTGCTGCTGCTGCTGCTGCTGTTGCTGCTGTTGCTGCAATGGGGGTTTGTGGTGGAGCTGATGCTGCTGCTGTTGCTGCGGTGGCGGCTGGTGCTGCTGATGCTGTTGCGGTTGTTGCTGTGGAAGTTGGCGCTGCTGCGGTGTGGGTTGCTGCTGCTGCTGCTGCTGCTGCTGCTGCTGAGGCCTTGTTGCATCCCAGTGTTGTTGCTGGCCGTGCAGTTGTTGCAGCTGCAGCAGCTGCTGCTGCTGTTGCAGGTAGTGTTGTTGCTGCTGGTGTTGCTGCTGCTGCCAGCACTGTTGTTGCTGTTGCTGTTGCTGCTGCTGCTGCAGCTGCTGCAGCGAAAGAGCTTGTGGTTTACTTGGGGGGCCCCTCAGGCTAACCATAGAGACAGCTCGGGGGGTTAGCTGAGGGCTCTTATACAAATCCTGTGAGAGTCGTAGCGAGGCCCCTCTGGGTGTATGCGCAGCCTGCTGTTGCTGTTGCTGCTGCTGCTGCTGCTGCTGTTGCTGCTGCTGCTGCTGCCAGCGCTGCATCAAGTAGTGCTGCTGCATCTGCCACAGGTGCTGTTGTTGCTGCAGCTGCTGCTGCGCAGCGGCAGCGAAGAGGGGACCATTGTGGGGCCCCGGAAGCTGCAGAGAACCAGCAGTGGCCCCTGTGTTGCTGCTGCTGATGCTGCTGCTGCTGCTGCTGGGCTGTATCGCTCCCTGAGTGCTGCATAGGGGCCCCCCTACTCCCCCCACGAGGGGCCCGCAGGAGAGCCTAGAGAGGCTATAGGATCTGCTGCCTAGGGGGGCCCCCACAAACCTGCAGCCAGTGGTAGTACTTAGCAAGGCCCCACCCCCTCCACTAGGGGCCCCCAATGCTCCTCTGGGGGCCCCCACGAGCCCCTCAAACCCTCTTCCCCCCCTTTCTTCATGGGGTCCCTGGGGGAGGCCCTGAGGGGGCCCCTGGGGGGCCCCCTGGGGGAGGCCTTGAGGGGTCCCCTGGGGGGCCCCCTGGGGGAGGCCCTGAGGGGGCCCCTGGGGGAGCCCCTGGGGGAGCCCCTGGGGGGGCCCCTGGGGGGGTTCCTGTGGGGGGCCTTGAGGAAGCCCTTGGGGGGGCCCCAAGGGGGGCCCTTGAGGGGGCTCCTGGGGGCCCCTAAAGGTACTATTTAAAGCCTCCCTGCAGTACCTGGTGGGTCTGTAGGTTGGCGTTACGCTGTGCCCTCTGTTGCAGCTGGCCGTTAGGGGGCCCCCTGGGGGCCCCTCTCTCTGCAGCACAGAGACTCCTTGTAGCTCGGGGGCCCCTAAACGAAAGGGAGGGGGGGCTCCTGCACGACCCCTGCCTTCAGCTAGATAGGTGTTTGTGGGGTGTACAGGCACTCCAGGGACTGAAGAGATTTGGGGGCCCCTGACTATGAAGGGGCCCCCATTAGGCGGAGGCGCCAGAGTGGCCCCCCCTCGGTGAGTAAGGGCCCCCTGAGGCTGCAGGGGCCCCCTAAAATCTGCATAGACACCTCGTGGTGTTGCTGTTGCTGCTGCTGCTGCATCAGAAGAAATATTAGTAAACTGGGGGAGAGGGGCCCCCCTCAAAGGGCCCCCCAACGGTCTAAGGCTTGCACCTTGGGGGGCCCCCCGGAGGGTCTGAACACCGAAGGGGGCCCCCATAAAAGCGGGGTACTGAAGTGCTTGCTGCTGCATAGGCCCCCAAACTCCAGCAGCAGCAGCAGCATGCATCTCTCCGCCGGTATGGGGGGCCCCTGGGGGCCCCCAGGGGCCCAGGCTCCCCCTTGTCGGTGTAGTAGATACTTCAGGGGCCCCTGCTGCAGCTCCAGAACCGAACAAAGTCGTACCCTCTTGAAGGGGGGCCCCCATAGGGCCCATGGGGGGCCCCCCTGGGGCTCCCGTGGTGCTCCTTATCATTTGCCGTAGGTGAGTGCGCGACAGCTGAATGTTGGGGGGCCCCCTCAGGACAGGGGGGGCCCCCTGAGGGCTAGAGGCCCTCAAAGATGCTGCAGAGGGGCCCCCTGCCCCCGCAGACAACGAAGCTTGAGGAGGAAGAAGAGGGGCCTCCATCATTTCTGCTGCTTTTGCTGCTGCTTTTGCTGCTGCTGCTGCAGAGCGAGGAGACACTGCTGCTGCCAAGGCCATTGCTGCTGCTGCTGCTGATCGAGGTGTGGTAGGTGCCGTTGCTGCTGCTGCAGAGCCGGGTACTGCAGCAGCTGCTGCTTCTAATGCAGCAGCAGCAGTTTCAGCAGCAGACCTTGGTGTCCTCACCGATGAAGCAGCAGCGGGAGAGACATTTGCTGCTGCACCTTCCTTTGCTGCTGCTGCTGCTGCTGCTGCTGCATTCGGTGTAGGTACACCGGACTGCATGCACCTGCTGCTCGCCGCTAGACTGGGGCCCGATGGGGCCCCTTGAGTCGCAGCACTCTCCTCTTGAAGCCTGAGGGGGGAGGGCTCTCTGTTCTCTGGTTGTTGGTGTAGCTGCAGCTGCAGCTGCAGCTGTTGCTGCTGCTGTTGCTGAAGCTGCAGCTGCTGCTGCAGTAGCAACTGCGGTTGCTGCTGCTGGAGCTCCTGGTATTGCTGCAGCTGCTGTTGTTGCTGCTGCAGCAGTTGCTGCTGTTGTGGTTGCTGCTGCAATTGATGCTGCTGTTGTTGCTGGTACTGCATCTGCTGCTGATGCTGCAGCTGCTGTTGCTGCTGCTTCTGTTCTTGCTGCTGCTTCTGGGGCCCCCCCTCATCGTCTCCTTTAGCTAGTAAAGGCTTTCCGGGGGCCCCCACACTGCCGTCCTCTTTGATGTTAGTGGAGGGGGCCCCCAAAGGGTCTGTTGGGGGGGGCCCCAAGGGGTTTGCAGAGGGGGCCCCAGGGGGCCCCCTTGGGGTTGGGGGCCCCCAACGGTTTGCAGAGGGGGCCCCAAGGGGCCCCCTTGGGGTTGGGGGCCCCCTTGGGGTTGGGGGCCCCCAAGGGTTTGCAGAGGGGGCCCTTGGTGTGAGGGGCCCCCGAAGAGACAGCCTGTTGACTGCAAGTGCACGAATCCTTTGGTTTGTGATTTTGCTGCTGCTGAGCGCCAGCTGTACAGACACCCCACATATAGGCCGTAGGTTGCTTCCTGGGTAGCAAAGGCTCTGCTGCTGCTGCTGCTGCTGCTGCTGCAGGGGTCTGACCATCAGCGTGATGTGGTACTCTCCAGTGCTGCTGGGAGGGGTGATGAGGAGGGGGCTGTCTGTGCAGTGCAGCAGCAACTGCTGCTGCCTGCCCTCTGTGGTGCTGCTGCTGCTGCAGTTTAGAATGCATGCCTGCAGCTCCAGGGGCCCTGGGGGCCCCCCTTCGACACTCCAAGTGATCTCTATGTCCCCTGTCTGTGTTGTTATAACTGAAACCTGCAGCCGGGGGCCCCCCGTTGTGTCTGCTGCTGCAGCTTCAGGGCCTCCAGCAGCAACGGGCAGCTTCTTGGCTTCTGCTGCTCCTGTTGCTGCCGCTGCTGCTGCAGTTGCTGCAGGTGCAACTGCTGCTGCTTTCGAAGAGGCTTGCTGCTGCCTCGGTGTCTGCACCCCCCAAAGGGTTTTGGGGGGGCCCCCCTCTCGCATTGAGCAGCCAGGGGGCCCCCTTTGCAATTCTAAGGGGGGGCCCCGCTGCAGCTCTGGAGGGGGGCCCCCTCTGAACTGTAGCGAAGCAGAGGGGCCCTCTAGTGATGCTCGGGCTTTCTGTGTAGCAGCAGTGTCAACACAGGCAGTATCTGCTGCTGCTGCTGCTGCTGCAGCAGAAGGCTGTTGGCTACTCGGTGGGGTCCCCTCGCACGAAAGGGCTGCTGCAGTATCTGCTCGTTTGCAGCTGCTGCTGCTTCTGCTGCTGCTGCTGCTGCTGCTGCTGCCAATTGTGCTGTTGCTGAAATCATCCGCAAGGGTCAGGGGTTCTGCTGCAGCCTTTCGTTTGCTGCTGCTGCTGCTGCTCACGTCTACAGGAGTGCTGCTCTCGCTGCTGCATCTGCCAGCTGCATCTTTGATCAATCGTGCGCTGCTGCAACTGCTGCTGCTGCTGCAGCTGACGTTGTTGTTGTTGCTGCTGCTGCTGCTGGTCACAACTGTAGGGGTTTGGAGCCCTTCTGCTGCTGAATGGAGGGCCCCCAGCGCTTCCGCAGCAGACCTAGAGGGGCCCCCCTGCTGGTTGTTGTCTGCTGTCTCTACTGAATCGAAAGGAGACACCTCGTTGGGCAACTCTACAGGGGGGGCCCCCTTGTCATCAGGGGGCCCTTGGCTGTCGAGGGGCCCCCTGCTGCTGAGACCCTCCGGCTCTGCCTGTGAAGGGGCTGTCTTCGCTGCTGCTGCTTCTGCAGGCTGCGGTGCAGCAGCAGCATCAGCAGCAGCAGAAGACTCTTCCGTTGCGTCGGCCTCTGCATCACTTGAGCCTGCAGCAGCAGCATTAGCAGCATCAGCAGCAGCAGATGCAACAGCAGCAGCAGCATCACTGTCCCCAGGTTGTCGCTCTGCTTCGTTTTCTGCCTCAGTTGCTGCTGCTTGTGAGCAAACTGCTGCTGTGGCTGTAGAAGGTCGTTCTGCTGCTGCTGCTGCTGCTGCTGCTGTCCCCTATATCCCCTCTAGACAGAGCTAAAGAACCCGAAATACCGCAGCTCTCGCTGCTGCTGTCGCCATCTGTAAAACAGTCAGCAGGACCAGCAGCAGGAGTAGCAGCAGGAGCAGGAGCAGCAGCAACTGCTGCTGCTGCGGCTGCATCGCCACTGGGGCTTTGATTTTCTCGCGGTGTCTCCTTCGTCTCCAACTCCGCGGGGGCCCCCACGTGCTGCAGCAAACCGGTGTTGGGGGTGTTGTTCATATTTTTAGTAGGCGCAGTTAGCAGCGGTTTGCTGCTGTCTCCTGCAGCATTATAGCTGAGGGCCCCCAAAGCAACTGTCTCCTTACAGAGGGGGCCCTCGCAGGGCCCCTGGGGAGTTATTACAGTCCCTTGGGGGCCCCCAACTGTCTCAGCCTCTAGGAAAGAGCTGGCTTCCCCTGCTGCAGCAACAGCTTGTGCGGCTGCTGCTGCAGCTGCAGCAGCAGCTGCTGCTGCTGCAGCTGCTACTGCATTCTCTCCGATTGGGGCAGGTAGGGAAGAGCGCCTCCCCCCCTCTTCTCTTTGGAGGCCCTGCAGCAGAAGGAGACAAACAGCAGCAAAAGGAGACAAACAGCAGCAGCAGGAGACACTGCAACGAGCAGCAACAACCAGCCAGCCATCTGTATTTGTTGCCTTGCCTCTTATTTTGCTGCACCAAGGGGCCCCTGCTGTACCCTAAAGGAGGCCCCTGCTGTGCCCTAAAGGGGGCCCCTGTTGTACCCTAAAGGGGGCCCCTGTTGTACCCTAAAGGGGGCCCCTGATGTACCCTAAAGGGGGCCCCTGCTGTACCCTGTACCCTTAAGGGGGGCCCTTGTTTGGAGGCCCCTGTGAAAGGCTTACTGTTTGGGGTGTAGCGGAGGGCCCCCTCTTTTTGCTGCAGCTGTCGCTGCGTCTCTTGAGAGGGTAGAGAGACTGAAAAGGAGAGACACCGAAGCTGCAGATACACCACAGAACCCAACAAGGACGCAGCAACTGCTGCTGCTGCTGCTGCTGCTGCTGCCCTTGCTGCTGCTGCTGAAAGGTGTCCCCTTAGGCCACTGCCCCTCTCTACGCTGGGCGGAAGCCCCAACTAGGTGTATCGTTTGCTGTCTCCTTGCTGTCTCTAACTGTCTCTCCTTTGTCTCTTTTATCTCTCTAACTGTCTCTCTTTTGCCTTTGCTCAAATCTGTCTCTTTTATCTGCTGCTTTTTGTCTCTGTTTTGCGTTCGATTTGTTTGCCTCATTTTTGTCTCTCAGTGTCTCCTTTCTGTTCATAAGGCCCTCTAGTTGTCTCCTTGCTGTCTCTGTTGTCTCCTTGCTGTCTCTGTTGTCTCCTTGCTGTCTCTGTTGTCTCTCTTAAGCTCTCACTGTCTCTCTTCTGTCTCTTTTGTGTCTTTACTAGCTGTTGGCTTTTTGTCTCCTTTTGTCTTTGCTTCTGTCTCCTTTCTGTCTCTAACAACTGTCTCTTCTCTGTCTTTAATATCTGTTTCTTCTCTGTCTCTAACAACTGTCTCTGTCTCTTTGCTGTCCCCTCACTCCATCAGCACAGCTTCAAAGAGACTCAGCCCGCTCGCTATTTGCCTGATAGATACAGAGCAACAACACAACCCCAAACCCTAAACCCTAACAAACCCTAAACCCTAAACCCTAAACCCGCAATGTCGCTGGCTGAGTCGGCACCTACTCAAGCTCCTGCTGCAGCCGGCTCTCTTCCTCACGCAGCTGTCTCCTCTGCTGCACAAGTGTCTCCTTCTCTTCAGATACCTCCCCTAGCAGCTGCAGGAGGCCTGAGGCACACTCAGCAGCACAAGCAAAAAGCATAAAGCAGCAGCCACAGCAACGTCAGCAACAGCAGCAGCTGCTGCTACTGCTGCTCCTGAAGCTCTTCATGTTGCTGCTTCGGCTGTTCGCTGCAGCATGTGATGCTCTTTCAGCAGCAGCAACATCCACCAGGTCTGCTGCTGCTGCTGCTGCTGTTGCTGCTGCTGCTGTTGCAGCAGCTGTTGCAGCTACTTCCGAAGATGACGGGCAGCAGCAGGCGGAGGTGTCTGTCTCGGGTGTTTTGGGGGTGTAGGGTTTGTGGTTCATTCGGGATTGGGTGCAGCAGCAGCAGCAGCAGCAGTAGCAGCAGCAGCAGCAGCAGCTTACCGCCTCTTGCGGTGTAGAGAGACCTGAGGGTCCCCATCAGCTGATCTCTCGGTAGGGCCCTGAGGGAGGCCCCCCTGTCGTTGACTGTCTCCATTATGTCCCTCTTAAACAAAAACAATTAATTAATTTAAATGCAGCAAACAGAAGAGCGACACCAGAAGAAGCCCCAGGTGTACAGGCAGGTCCAGACCGGCCTCCTCCAGCGGCCCCTCAGTAGGGGGGTGGTGGGCGGCAGGGGCCCGGGGGCCCCTAAACTAGCGAAGAGAAAAAGAAATAAATTAAAAATTATATTTAAATTAAATCAATTTCGATTTAAATTAATAAAATGCAGGGGGTTGGCTTCGGAAGTCTCAGAGCCGCAGGCGTTGCTGCTGCTGCTGCTGCTGCTGCTGCCGACCGCCACCGACCGCAGCAGCAGCAGCAGATCTGCTGCTGCTGCCGCTGCTGCAGCTACTCGTGCAGAGATATCTTCCTTTCTGGGAGACTTCTACAGCAATACTTTAAATAAAAAGGATTAAGGGCTTATTAGTTTAGATATTTTGAATTCATTTCTATGTTTATACAGAGAGGGGGGGGCCCCCGCAGGTGTAGGTGGTGAGGTGTACATACACCTCAAGGGTGGCCAAGGAATATTGTATTTCAAGAAAGCGAATTCTTTTGCTCTTCTTTTTATTTCTTTGTTTGATTTTCTTCTATTTAGAGGGTTTTTTTTTAATGAAGGCCTCATTAATTTATTCATATTAACGCAGCTGAAGCAGCTTCACGAGGCGTACTGTCGCGCCTAGGCTTATTCAGAGAGCCCTCTATTGGGGCTAAGCCTTATAATAATAAAAGAAATAAAAATAATAAAAATAATGAAAATATTATTAATAATAATACATAGTAAATAATAATAATAACAGTACTAGCAATATAGATTAATAACAATAATAATAATAGTAAGAACAATAGTAAGGGCCTCGTTTGTTTTGAGTTAAAGTGCGTCGACCTTAGGTATATAAAATGAAGAAATAAGCCCGATAAAAAACAAAGAAAGAGATGAAAGGAGTTAAGTCTGCGTGAAGCTGCTGCCAACGATGATACCCAAGTGAAGCCTTTAAGCAGCCGAAGCCCGTCTCTATGCGAGAGGAGAGGAGACACAGAGTGTGAATATGAGGCTGCACCAGCTGGGTATACGCTGATGCAATACAAGGAGAACAAAAACTTATTTATTAAATAGGTGAGCAGATAACAGACACGGCTGTCTCCAGGCTTCAATAAGCGAGACAGCATCTGTACACAGAAATATACACCGTGAAGTGTCTCAGCTTCTTCTTATGCCCCTTACTCCTTCCTGCCTCATCAAACTAAAACCTCTTACCTTTACCTTTCTGTTTGCATGCTGTACAGAGCTTGAGTGACCTTGCAGCGCCGGGCTTCTTTCTCAATCCTGCTACTAAGACAACATAGAGAGCAAGAGCTTTTTAAGTTAGTGAAGCTAATTAAATTAATTAAACGCAGCCCATGAATGACGAGCAGCTACTCGCAATGTGCGTGAGGGAGTGCTATGCCTATCAGCAGCGCAGAGGCTCTGTAATAGAAGCTGATTCTGTCTATGTGCTGCCTTCACTATTCCTTTGTTTACTTCATTATATTTAAAAGAAAGCAAAGAAAAAGGTTGTCCTTCTTCGCTAAAAAAGCATGCAAAACGCTATGGTAATGAATCAGATATAAAGCCTATGAATGTTATTGGGGCTGGGGCTCAGCGCCTCTAATTATGCATGCATGCATTATGAGGTCACCGACTTCACGCGACTTAAGCTGAAAAGAAGGAACCGCGAAGTTATATCAAAATGGTTGTGCAGCTAATTGCTGCTGAGCTCTCAGAGTGATAGGCCCCGTTGACTGCACTCTGATAGCAAAGGCCCTACGAAGGGCTTTAGTTTTCTTCGCTGTTTTCATACATCTTTAATTTGTAATTATGTTGAGCTGCTTAGTGCAATAGAAGCAGTTGAGTGCGCTTAGGAGGAACGAAGCCCCTTCAGCCTCTTGCATGCAAGCTGTCGTCTGTTCTTGCTGCTGCTCTCCTGCTGAACGAATACTACTGTATTCACTGCTTCATTATTAGACGACTCTATTTCAAACACATCTCCAGCAAATAGCCGTCCTCTTGCTTTTTAAACGAAGAAGGCATAGCTTTGTTCTCTATCTCTTTGACGCTAAGCACTCTCCCCCTACTTCACTCCTTCTTTAGTTTCTCTTCTCTAACTCATCTATTTACATATTGTTTTTCTTCTCTGTATATAGTCTTTATACAGCTGATGATGATATAGATGTTGCTGGAGAAGGCGAGAGGCAGCCAAACACCCTGAGGAGTCTGTCTGATCTTCGCGAGCTGTTGTAATCCTTTGTTTAAAACTGCAGTGTCACTGCTAATATGAATTAATGTACTTATATCTACATACTCTTTCAAGCTATTTTATCTTTTGCTCAGGTCTGCTACACCCTATCCACCTGTAGTTAATGCAGCTGTGAAGAGCCCCTCCTCACTCCTGCTCAAATGTTGCATGCACGTTGCAGTTCGCTGCATTTTTTTAATTTAAATGTCGATTAATTAACTTAAAATATTTTTAATTTATATTTAGATGTGTGCATTAAAAGATAGCTTCAAACCAACATGAAAGGCAAATGGTTCAGTAACGTGCTGCAGCAGCAGCAGCAGCACGGTCGGGTAGAAACAAGAGCAGCAGCAAATAAAAGCAGCAAATAGAAGCAGCATCAACAGATATGTCTCGATAGAGTGTCTGCACCTCTGGTTACGCAGAGGCTGGCTGGATACAGAGGCTTAAGTATGTGCTTAATAAGCATCTACTGTATGCCTGCCTCTTGGGCTGTCTTGCTGCAGGAGGTGCAGCAAAGTGCAACAAGGACTGCTGCAGCACACTAAAGGCCTCTCCCCTTCACCAGGGGCCCCACTCCCTTCTGCCTCTTAGCGCATGAAGCCTGTAGACAGAAGGGGTGGCTATCTGATTTCTTTTGTTAATCTCCTTTCTCAAGTACTTCTCTGGAGGGGCCCAGGCTCTTCTAAGGGTGCCTCGCCGGCTTTAGGCTGATCAGGGTTTTATAGCTGTTTCTGGTAGGGCTTGTCTAACTAATAGAGAAGTACTTATACAATGTTATGCATCTCTTAAGCGCTTTCGAGCTGCTTGTTAGTGACCTTAGGCTGCAGCGGCTGCCGTCCTTGGCATTAATTTAAATAATCTCCCTATACACCCCAACGCAGTAGCAGCAAAAAAGGATGTTAGCGGCAAAATAAACAAATAAATGTAAATATGCAGCAGGAAGCACATCACAACTCATCTTTGAGTCTGAAGGCATGGATATGTTTATGCGGGTTGCGTACGCCCCCACATAGATTTTCACAAGTAATTCTAATGAATTAAACAAACGAGTTTTAATTATTTAATATTATAATATATTTAATTAAATAAAATCTTCAAGGGGAAGAGATTTCTCGCTAGCGTCGCTCGGTTGCTGCGCAGCAAACGCCCATCACCTAGAGGTGACCGCGTGTCTGCTACAGGCAGTTTAGGAAATAAAATAATAATTTCTTTGAATAATTATAAAATATTTAAATTTAAAGTGCAATAAAAGAATTAATTTTTATATTGTACAGCCCTTTATGCGTACAGAAGCCGTGGCTGGCTGCCTCCAGCTGTATGCATAATTGAGGTGTATCGACAGCTCTCTACTCTACTGAGGTCTCTGAGCGCGCTTCTGCTTTATTACCAAAATTAACTATTTAAATGCTTTTGTTTTCGATTTTCTTGCATTTAGACTATGTATAATAACTGAAAAAATAATAGTTTTGCTCTTCGTATCCCCAGTGTTATTACTCGGATGGGGGGTATACCTCAGGGGCCCCCTCCCCAGCGGCTTACAACAGGAGGTAAGATGAAGATCTTGCTGCTGCAGGGGCCCCCCAATCCTCTTGTTGCTGCTTCTTAGCCTTCTCTTTCTTTTCTGCTGCAGCTCAAGCACCAGACAAAGACAGGCCCATAGGAGCCTGTCGCTGTCTTTGTTTGCTGCTGTACAATCCTTCCTTGTCTCTCTGTTTGCTGCTGCAGGAGAAAAAACAGAGCGCTGCGCTGAGATCTTCTTTCCTATCTCCCCTTGGACCCCTCAACGGGGGCCCCCCCTAGAGGCCCCGGGGGCCCTAGAGGCCCCTGAGGGCCCTAAAGCAGCAAGCCCTCGCGCCGCTTTGGGAGCCTCAGACTCCTCTATTCCAAATATACGAAGCCCTGCAGAAGCCCCACCACAGCGACTAACTTCAGATGAAAATGAGAGTGCATGCAGTCTTAAAAACATACGCAGCCAGAGGCCCTTAAGGCCCCTAGGGGCCCTAGACTCCTCAGGGCCTCCAGGGCTTCCGCGAGCCCAAGGGCCCCCAGCGTTGTCGGGGCCTCCAGGGGCCCCAGGGGCCCCATCAGGGCCCTCAGGGCCTCAAGGGGCCCCAGGGGCCCCATCAGGGCCCTCAGGGCCTCCAGGGGCCCCCGGGGCCCCCGGGTGTAGTAGTAATATGGATGAGGGCGTTGGTGTCGTTACAGCAGAAGACAGTCGAAAGCAAGACGAAGACTGCTCTGCTGGGCTCTGCTGCTCCTTGCAGCCAGACCCGCAGCATGAGCAGCAGCAGCAGGAGCAGCAGCAGGAACAGCAGGAGCAGCAGCAGGAGCAGCAGCAACAGGAGCAGCAGCAGCAGGAGCAGCAGCAGCAGGAGCAGCAGCCGTCTGCCAATGACTGCGGCGCGAGAT